TGAAAGTCAATAAGAAAATAAATATTTCTGAAAATGCAATTTATTGCATAACAACTCATTAATATTTACTTAAATCCTGAAAGAGTGAAATCTGTTCTCTGAAGGGAAGTCACTAAATCATGCTTAGCAGAGCATGTGTGATAACAGATAAAAGTAGTATGGTGATTTTCTAAATATAGATAAGATGTGGTACAAGGCCAAAAGTAAGATGCACCCAGTGAGGATCAAAGTCAATATTCAGTCATAATTGATGTAGTGAGACAAACTTGCTAGCCATGTTGAAGTGCCCAAATGATTTTCTAAGCATAGCTTAGGTTTGGCACAAGGCCATAAGGTATACCCAGTGAAGATGGAACTCAATATTCAGTCATAATTGTAGTGAGACAAAGCTGCTAAGCATTACACCATGTCGAAGTGCCCAAATGATTTTCTAAGTATAGCTTAGATTTGGCACAAGGCCGAAAGTAAGGGACACCTAGTGAGGATCAAACTTGCTATTCAATCATATAAGTAAAAGTGGTATGTCCTGTATAGAATGACTTTAAAATAAAAGGTATGGAACCATGATAGAAAATCTATAAGATGAAGGAGGCTGTATGTATATATATACATAAGAAAAGTCTACATCTTAAGATAATGTGCTTGGAAAAAAATATTTTATAGCTGTTAAGGTTTTCCATTTGCAAAAAAAAAAAATGTTCCTAGCACCGTGAAATTGTTAATAACTCTTTTGACAGGATTCAACATAAAAGCAGTAGGAACAGACCATCAGTTTTAATATCCAGACAATTAGTCATGTGATTCTGTTAAACTGTGGTATTGTGGCAAGATGATAATTTTCCAATCATTCAATTGGTTTTGTCATTTGAAAATATTTCTTATTTACACTATTTACATTATTCAGACTATTGTCCTCATCTTTGTTGCCATAGTTTTACGTTTTATGCTCCACCCTTCTTCAGGTTGAACTGAACCCTTTATTTCACTTCTAGTTCCACGTGCCATGTTTAATGGATGTCAGTTAATTCCCCTCTGAAAGTTCTCCACTGCCTTATTGAACTCACACTCTCTGGGTCCTGTCACTGGATCTAACTAAAGCCTTTATCCACTGTGCCATTTGTCCTTGAGGACATCTGTGTATGAATTTCAGGTATTATAAACCTAATGTCTCAGTAACATTTTTTACCAGTGCTCATATTGCAATTTTTTGCTGTTATCATTTCATGATTTTACCAGAGCTCATATTGCAATTTTTGTTGTTATTATTGCTTTTCTCTGGCATTCCTTATTACTGGTTCCCATATTGTATTCATTTCTATGCTTGGTTGGCTCAGGAGATTTTTATGCCTAGTTCCAATGGTGTTCCTTGTCTATGATCTCAAACTGATCTCACAGAGGGTGATGATCTTCATTTTCTTTCCATATGTGGTCAGCCATGCCTGATTTTTTCAGTTCCCTTTGTGTTACAGCTTTCTGGTGTTCTTGAAGCCTTACCTTAATGGGGCAACCTGTCTCTCCTTTATATTTCTTTCCACAGCTGCACAGGATAGCATACACACAATCTTTAGTCATGTTCTCCTCTATGGAGGGGAGGGGGCTTACTCAGGACAGATATCTGCGAAGTGTCGTCCAACTTTTGAAGGTTGTCCTGATGTTATATGGACCGCAGATCCTTTGTATTTTCTCTGATAACCCCTTCATATAAGGCAGGCAGATTGTTTTCTGAGTGTTGTTGTTCTCCTCTTGTACCTGTCTATCCCAGTTTATTGGGGCTGCTGCCATGTACCCAGGGTAGTTGTTACATTGTAGGGTACTACTTATACTGACCAATTCTTTATCTAATGTCTCTGGATTGCTAGTTATGACTTTTGCTCAGTGTTGTAAGTAGCGGACGATCCCTTTCTTTACGCTGTATGGATGGTGGGAGTTGAAATTGAGGTACTGTCTAGTGAATGTCGGTTTACAGTATACAGATGTCTTGAACCCATGGTCTGTTCAAGATATTAGAACATCCAGGAATGGGAATATGGCAACAAAGATGAGGAAAATAGTCCGAATAATGTAAATAGTGTACATAATACCTCATCTCAGAAATATAGACAGATTTCTTATTTAATATTTTCATTTTTTATTTTTCTTCATTTAAAATATTTACTCGAAGTTTGATCATTTTTATTTTTACTCATTTAGAACAATTATTTCTAATCATTTCTTTTAATTATGGCCCAATTAAAAACACTTCTCAGGTTTCGGATTGCACCTCGACATCAGACTGACATAACACAGTGAAAAATGCATTTATTACTGAACACCAAAAACATTTGAACATTCTGGCATACCAAATAAATCTTTGGCAAACCTGGGCCTTTGTACCCACAAAAAAAATGGAGTGTCATAAGGACAGTTTTTCCCCTTAATACCACTGTTATTTTAATTACCTTTACTCCTCAGCAATGTTTAATGTTTTAAAAAGCGATGATAAGAACTGTAATAAAACCTAAACATATGATGAAAGTAAATTTATATATTTTTTGCTTTTGAGAATTGACAACAAACATATCAAACACTATTAAACACAACACTTTGATGGAGAAAACTTCCTCTAACGAAAAACCAAATTAAAGAGCTCAAAAATCTTTTTTATATAAAAACCTGCAGAAATTGACTCAAAAGGCATTGAAGATCCACCTGTTAAGTGACAGCAAGATGGTTTTTCCCTTGACACCACTATTATTTTAACTACCTTCACTCCCTTGGTAATGTTTGTTGTTTTAAAATGTGAAGATTACAATTTTAATAAAACCCAAACATATGAAAGTGAATTTATACATTTTCTTTGTTCTTTGAGAGTTTACAGCAAAAACATTAAACATTATTTATTTATTAGATTGTTTATTTACAAGAATAATTTTATATTTACAACATTCTAAAAATTAATACAATTAGAACTAATGCAATGCAATATTTATCATTTCCCAATTTATGAAGATAGAAATAAGAAAACAATGTTTTCTTTATAAATTTATAAACATTTATAAATTTATAAATTTATAAACATTTACTAAATTATTAAAATATGTGAAGCAACTATGTGGAAAACCTTATCATTTACCAATTCATAAAGTTTGAACCAATTTGCAATTAGCTGATATTTTTCCAACCATTCCAATAAGCAATTTAATAAATAAATAGCATAAATAAACAATCTACTAAATAGTGTTTGTTATTTTATGATGACAACAGTTTGGCTTCCATTTGTATTTTTCAAATGTGCCAGATTCGAAAGTTGAGAATTTCCTATCATAGTGTAGCGATCATCATCATCATCACACATACAGTATTTATCGATCCACCCACGAGGATAGAATGTGGCACAAGGCCGGTTTAATGTGGGTATCCCCGAGCCTGTAGGCTCGGCCAAAAATATAGCCTTTTTGAACCCGCCTTGACGGATTCAGGCCCAGTCTACCTCCCCGAACGAAACCTTGCCCTTCGGCAAAGCTTCGTCCGGGTTCCTCTCTGCTAATGCAGAGAGTTTGACAGAGGCCAACTCGGAAGCTCACAAAGGCAGCGTAATCCTAGCCTCCAGGCCGAGCAGCTCATCATCACACATACATACATACATACAGATCATACGGCAAGCATTCATTGGCTAATCTCCTCAAAACTAGCTTGCTGATTGGTCAATTCTGACCAATCAAATCACCTGCATGTGAGGAATAATTTCCCCATGAACAAGGCTGGAGCCTGTTACATGTGACACAGCCTTATATAAACAAAACACAAATAAGCCTCTCTTATTTCTCTTCATTCATCTTTTTTCTTGCTGCCAAGATGTAATCTTCAAGAGCTCCCATCTTAACCGTGTGGTCAGACGTTAAAGATCATTGCCAACAACTCTTACCAACTTTCTTGCAAATCGACAGTAGAGTCTTGCAATTTACGCCTGTCTACACAAATCCACGACTTTACTCACAACGCACACACAGACACAGATTTTTGTATCACATTACACATTCTTCCTCTCTGCGGCTAAGCCAAGTTCATGAACCAGAACTCTCTTATTTACTCAAAGCAACACACTTCTTAATTAACTGTATTCTATTCTAACACCAGACTCTATTCAACATAGAATCCTGAACATTCTTACTCAAGAGAAATTCCTTTGAACATTCAATCTTATTCAGAATACAGTTGAAGGGAAGCAACTTTTTCTCCCTTAATTACGACACACCATTGCATGATTGTTTTGTATATTATTGTTTGAATATATATTTTATTGTTGATGTACAATTGGAGTATCGTTGGTTTTTCTTGAATCGTTGAATGTATAATAGATAAATGCTCTTAGAACACGCAATTACATTTGATAAGCTCAACGCATAAACCAAAGCAGCATTTACAATAGAATACTAGGTAATAATTATTCAGAAAAAGCCGTACCTTGTAATCAAATCAGATTTATTTTAATTTTTATATTGTGTTAAGGTTAACCATCTTTGCTGGATTTAACTATATTATTACTTTTTTTTTTTTTTTTAATAATTATTGGCTTAAAGAGGATGTTGGAATAAACTTTCAGCAAAAAATATTCATTAATTGAAGAATAATTTACACTGTTTATATCATTCGGACTGATGTCCTCATCTTTGTTGCCATATTCATGATGTTTCAGCCATTGTATGCTCCGACCTTCTTCAGGTGATATACAGTGGAATTTCAAAAGGAAACCCTTTATTTAATCCACAGGGGGTAGATTATTCTAACTCCATGTGCCATTCCTTTTTTGGACATCTCTGTTTCAGTTAATTCCCTTTAGTAACTCAACTCTCCAAGTTTTTGTTCGTTCTGCTGTGGCCAGGGATTGAACTCACAACTCTTTGGCTCAAGTAACATTTTAGAATACTCAACCAATGCTTTTATCCACTAGGCCATGTGTCTGAACGATGTAAATAATTTAAATATTTTCTTTCCATTTGAATTTTTTTAATTGGACCTAAGGCCATATCACATTGAAACACTGGTTTCCATATGATCACCAAAGTTAAGCAACATCAAGCCTGGTCAGTAACTAGATGGCTTACCACTTGGGAATACCAGGTGCTGTAAGCTTGGGTGTACAGATGGTATAATAGATAATGACTTAGAATGAGAAATCGGAGAGCTGAGTTCAAATTCTGGTCAGGTTCATTATATTTACTTATGTGCAGCTAACCTAGAGAAAGGTATATATAAACACTTCTTCTCCCTCCAGCTATGGGTTAAATAGTGGGACCTGTATCTGAAAATTATTATCTGCCAAAAATGTTAATATTTTATTCACTTGTCAAAGAAAATTATTCTTACAATCAAAAAATGTTTTGGCTTTAAATAACCTACAAAAGGTTGATAAGCCATAAAAAACAAATCAATCTTTCCTTGTATTAAATGAAAGGTCACTTAAATTTATAAGCAATTTATATGGCAAGTGAAATATGGATGACCAAAAATGACAAAAGTAAATATTATCCACCAAGAAAAAAATATATCCGCAATATTAAAATACTATATGACAAGCAATATTATAGTAGCAACCAAAAGTAATAAAATAAACATATTGTTCATGTCAGAGGAATTCAGAAATTAAAAAAAAATAGTGGAAAATGTTTGATTATATTAAGAAAATAAAATTATGAACATATTCTACTAGAAGGACAAATATGAGAGGGGAGGAACTAGGAAGGGAAGACTGTGTAGCACTCAACTTCTAAGGGAGAGGAGGTCTATTTGCTTTGTAAAATCAGTGTCCCAAATCTCCTGTTTAGTTGGCATGGGTTGGGAATATGCATATATCCCAACTATTCACTCAATAGACACATCAAAATTAAAAAAAGATTTTAAGGAATATGAACGTCTACAAATAAAGAGAAGAGGAGGAGAAGAAAATGGAGGAGGAGGAAAAGAATAAAAAGAAAAGGAGGAGGAGGAAAAGAAGAAGGAGGAGGAGAAGAAGAAAAGAGGAAAAAGAGAAAAGAGAGGTTTAAGAGAGAAAAGAAGAAGAGAATGAGGAAGAAGATTGTGGAGAGAAGTAGGAGAGAAGAAAACAGTAGAAAAAGAAAGGGACAACAAAAGAGAAGAAAAAAAGAGGAGAAGGAGAACAGAAGAAACCAAAATATGAGGAGGAGGAAAAAGAAGAATAAGGAGAAGAGAAAAGAGGAGAAAAAGAAAAGAGGAGAAAAAGAAAAGAGAAGAAAGAAGAAGAAGAGAGAAAAGAAGAAGAAAATAAGAAGAAGAATGAAAGAAGAGAGGAGGAAAAAAGAAGAAAAAAAGAGGTAAAAAGAAGAAAAGAGAGGAGAATAAAGAAAAGAAAAAAGAAGAGAGAGGATAGAATGAATAAGAAGTGAGAAAAGAAGTTATAGGGAGGAGAGAAGAAAAAATAAAATAAAAAGGAGACAAAAGAGAGAAGAAGAAGAAGAAGAAGAAGAAGAAAAAAGAAGAGGAAGAAGAAGAAAAGAAGAAAGATTTTTTCCAAAATGTTCATAAATTGTTAAATAATATTTCTGTTTGTAAAGGAAATGAATTGTTCCTTGTTGAATAAAGACAACAGGCTTTAAAGGTAACAACAAGATTCAGTTTATTTTTGGCAGAACATATGGTCTGAACTGTCATACAGGAAAAAAAAGAGTAACTACCAATACCAAGGTTCAAGCATGACACTCTGGACTTGTTTTCTGAAAGGCATATAAAGAGTGCTGTCAGGCTACTGACTGGAGTGATTATTGAGTGGAACTATCCAGTTGAATTAGTGTGAATTATTGTGTGTCAAGGATTTGGGTTTTGATTTAGGATTTATCAGATGTAAAGTCGAGTTGCACTACTAACAAGGTATTCACTGAAATGGTTATCTTTGGTTGACTTTTACTTTGATCTTGTTAAGTATTTATTTGTGGTTGTAATTAAATACTGTTTTATCTTAACATTGAAGTCTTGAGTTTTATATAATTATTAAATGCCACTGTACATCATAACACATCCAAAAGAACAAATAATTATTATTTTAAAAACTGAGACATCTTATTCCAAAAATGATATTTTAATAAAAACAAAATTAGAAAAGCTTTACTATATATAGTTATTTACAAGTTGACCTTTGACACTTGGCTAAAAAAAAACTGAATTTATGATTATTAACAAACTAGTGTGCCCAAACTAACATGACGGCAATTGTTAGAAAGTTTCAACAGTCAGATGCAATCAAATGAAAGTTTTGAACCAATGTATTGAGATTCAATAAAGTGGAGATGAAGAATTCACAACTAAAATAGACACCAATAAACCATTTGAGTAATCCGTTCCCTTTATATTTTGTAGACTTTTAATGGCATCCAGGATTCATTGCTTACTCCTGGTATTATATAAATTGCTTTTTGCTCAATATCTCTTGATAAATTTTATATTTAATATAACGGTGAAATGGAAATATCTCGGAAGGAAAAGATTAGCAACAGAACAACAAAGCTGGCTATGACAAAGCCTAAGTTGATGCAAGATGATCACTTAATAGACAGTTCTCTGAATACCTCAAATGAAAGGCTTGAACAAATAAGACTGCAATTTAAGAAACATGGGAACAAAGGAACTGATTAATTAAACAGTTCATTTTGCTTAGGAACTAATTTTTTCACAACTAAAATAAACTGTTTGAGTAATCCATTCCCTTTATATTTTTTTAGACGCTCAATGGTATCAAGGATTCATTGATTACTCCTGGTATTATATAAATTGCTTTTTGCTCAATATTTTATATTATAAAAATTTTATGTGTTTAATATAACAGTGAAATGGGAATATCTCTCGGAAGAAAAAAGATTAGCAGCAGAACAACAAAAATGGTAATAACAAAGCCTATTTCAAAATCAAGTTGAAGCAAGATGCTCACTTAACAGAGTAAAGGCTTAAACAAATAAGACTGCAATCTAAGAAATGGAGCAGTAAATGAACTGATTAATTAAATGGTTCATTTTGCTTAGGAACTAATTTTGTCTAAATGCAGATAAATATTTTATTTGTATGGATTATTAAAATTACAAAGGGAAGTAATCACTCATAAATTTACTAAAGTTGATTTACCTCCCTTTCCACAGATGTGACAGGAAATATATAAATACACATTGATAATTATTATATGGTTTGATGATTATGACAACAAAACACTATATTATAGCAGATAACACACATTTAAGGACAGTTTTAAGTTTTTATCATCATGTGCTACCATACACAGTAGCTTGCAAACATCTGATTACTTTGTTTTGTTAACACCAACCCATATGTATAAAATGCAAGAAAATAATAACTTCTCTGGCACAGGTATTTGCTTTTGGCTGAAAGTAGTGTAAACTGTTCCTCATTTTAGATGGGAGAAGGCTCCCTGCCCAGGGGATTCGAACCTTGTAGCAACACCTCCCACATTGCACTAAGAGAGTTGGGGGTTGGTGTAATATCAATGTCAGCATGACAGTGGTTACATGGACTGGGCAATTTTTGTCCTTTGTCTAAATGCATAACTATGTGTATGGGCTCCCCACATAAAAAATACATGACCTTGTGTCACATCCTGCCTTAGTGGGGAAGTTAGGTAAACATACACAGGTACTACACTCTGATTCTAGGCAAAAGTGCCAATTTGTGACACTTTGATTCTAGATAATGTGTACAGATACTACACTGTTCCAAGCATTTATTCACATCTCAAAGGGGAAAATTTGATACACAGCCTTTTTAACATATGGGAACAAGGACAAAGCTTATTGGTGCATTGAGGGAGATGCTGCCACAGTGCTGGAATCTGCAAGAATAGACCAAATTCATTACAAGCCATGAACTGCATAAAGAAAGAAACATGGTCCACATGATAGTATAGCAGAAAGGTAGAAAAAACAAATCCTCACTTTGATAGGATAGTGAACAAATAGGAAACATTTATAAATCTAACATGTTTCACTTTTATTAAAGCTTCATCAGAGAATGAGATCTGGATGAAGAAATTCTGGTATTTTGATTTTTGTGCTGTTTCATTTTCATTGGTTAAGCAGGTTTCACATGCATTTGACTTGTTAAACAGACAAAACTAATCTGGCCATTTGTCTTGAAAAAGACCACCAATCGGTTGTGGACTGGGGCAGGAATTGGCTGGTTAATTTTAATGCCTCAAAAACAAAACTGCTCTCTATTACTCACCAGAGAGAACCATCCCTAACTCTCATTAGTATGTCTGATGCTCAACTCCACGAGAGCACCTCTTTGCGACTGCTCGGTCTCACATTGTCCACTGACCTGAGATGGAACAAGTACATTGAGTCAATTGCTTTGTCCACTGCAAAGAAAGTTGGCACCCTGTGAAATGCCAGGAAATTTTTCTCACCGGAGTCACTCCTTCAAATCTACAAATCAACCATTCATCCTTGCATGGAGTATTGCTGACATATATGGTCTGGAGCCCTTTATAATTGTCTCAAGGTCCTTGATAAAATCCAAAGACGGATATGCAATGTAACTGGTCCTGATCTGGCATCTCCTCTGCAGTTGCTCTCTCACAGATGTGCCGTTGCCTCCCTCTATCTTTTTTACAAATACTTTCACGATAACTGCTCTGATGACCTGCTTTCGCTGGTTCCCAGACTTTATGAATTTAAGCGCTCAACTAGGCTGGCATTTCGCTTTCACCCTTTCACTGTCGAAACTGTTACATGTAGCCGTCTCTTCTACTCCAATAGCTCACACTTCTCACCTGTGGAACTCCTTCCCCATTTTTTGTTTTCCTGATAGCTATAATCTCCAACTATTCAAATGTAATGTCAATCAACATCTCCAGATGTCCTGATCTATCCTCTAACCGTCTCTTCATCCTTTCCTCTATCACTCCTCTTTGTCCTTGTTCCAACTCTGAAACCATTTGCATGCTAGTAGCTTCCCACCTTGCTTGGGGTGGAATGCTTAAAAAAAAAAAAAATTAGTATACTTTATGGTGTTCTGAGCTCAAGGATCAATGAAGCATTCTTTCAAAGTTTAAAAAACTAGCAAATTCCAAGCCTGACTGAAAAACCATAAATATTGTTTTATGTATGTAAGTGTATAGTAACTATAGTTTGTCTATATTCAGATGATAATGTACATTTGTGTGTGTGTCTCATAGGCATTATTTATGTTGATTTGGAGATGTTTATATGTAAATACTAGTTGTGGGAGATAAACATACATTCTTTCAGAATGGATTTGATAAATGTTTGTGATTTAATATAGTGTGTTTGACATGCAATTATAGTTCACAAAATTTTTATCAGAATTCCCTTGAATTGCTATAGTTTGATCCCAGTAAGTAATGTAGGGCAAATGCATTCTTGTCCTGTATTGACTTACCTCTCTATGGTAGGAGGATGTAAGACAGGGTTAGTTTAATATGGGGTGCTCAGTCCCAGGGAACACTGACATACTGGTGTTGGTATTCACTGTCTCTCTTTAGTGCAATGAGGGAGGTGCTGTTGTAAGGTTGGAATCCCAGGACTAGCAATAACTCAAATTTTTTTTTTTTTTGTGACCTGCCCAATGATAGAAACATGGCAGAGGGATGAAAGAAACTATGAAGGAATAACTCGTATAAAAATAGATGCAAAAATTTATAATTCTATGCTGCTTAATTGCATACATCCAAAAATTGAAAAGATATTGAAAAAGAAATCAAAACAGCTTTTAAAGAAGACAATGAACTATTGGTTAAATCTTAACCATTCACAGAATTCTTGAAGATGTGAAAGCTGAAAATCTAAATGCTGTTGTTATTCCTTGAATTCTCTAAAGCCTTCAGTTCTCAGAACTTCTGCCAATGCCATTAAAGACATAGATTCATTCTACATCCATGAAGGAGTGATGAATCTGCTGCCACAAAAATCACCAATGCAGATGACGTTGAGGATTTAGCACTAGTCTCTGATCTAATAAACCAAGCAGAAATCCTTCTCCATAGTTGTGAACATTTAGCCAAAGGTATAGGTCTCTATTTTAACTCAAACAAAAGAGAATAAATAAAAGCTTAAATCAAAATGAAACAATCAAAACATTATCTGGGACACCTCTCAACTCTGTAGAAGAATTTACTTATCTAGGCAGTAAAATCTCAAACTGCAAAAACGATGTAAACACACGCACTGATAAAGCCTGTGGTGACATTAACAAGTTATCTCTATTGTGGAGATTTAGATTTCTAGGCAACATGAAAAGGAGCTGCTTTCAAGCAACTGTAATCTTCTGCTTTATTGTATGACTGCTCAGCATCGACCTTTAGATCAAAACTGAAAGGATTGTTTGAGCAATGAGCAATTGTATGGGAACCTTTGTCTAGCATCAGACATCAAAGAGCTTAGAGTCAGATGTGCAGGACACTGCTGGAGAGCTATTGGTGAAATTGTTAGTGAAATTTGTTTGTGGGAGCCTATGTAAGGAAGAGCTAACAGAGGACAACAAGCCAAGACCTATGTCAAACAG